TTTTTACCGTAAATTATATCAACGGTTACGGAATTATTAGTAAATTAATATTTTGTTCATTAAATTATAAAAAAAAATCATTAAATAATTATAAACATTGTTGATTTATAATATTTTAATGATTTGTGGATCAATTGTTATTAACTCTTTTGCGCAATAATTATTAAAGTTTTCACAGATCCGTAGGAAAGCATATAAAAATTGGAGCATGTTTCAATAATTGCATACCTTGAACAAACAATATAATCATAATAATAACATTGTTAATAATAGAATTCAGAAAGTATGATTGTGAATTCTTTTGTTACTGAGAGTGTCGAGATAACTACAACTATTGAGAGTGTCAAGATGATTGTGAATCCCTCCATAAGTATTTGAAAGATTTCTCCATAAATGTACGAGAGATGCCTTTAAATGAGATGTCCCGACTGGAATACCAACCAATAAAATAAACAGGCGACTCTCTACTCGAATCAATAAAGCGTGAATCATCAAAACCTCTCATGATCTTCTACCTCCATCTATATGAGCATAGATTCTTTTGGGACTCCCTCATCACTAGATCGATATTAAGAAGATTGTAGAGATGTTCCAAAATGAGATACCTCTACATAATCAATGATGTTTCCCTAAATGATGTACCTCACCATGAATCCATGATGATATGTAAGTAATATATATCTCTCCGTCTAAATTTGAAAGGATAAACAATTATTTGGAAGGAAATGATACAAAAGACATTAAAAATTGAAATAAACAATTCTCGAAATAAAGCAGTTTTTAGCATTTTCTTTTGATTAGGGGGACAAGTGTTATACCCTTCCGTTGAGATGATTTATGATCCATCATATCCTTCCGCTAATTACGATATAAATAAACTCACTTTCGTTATGCATCAAAAAAAATATAAATAATAAATATTTTAAAATTATATCAAAATATTACAAATTATATATGTCAAAATAAGTGATAAATTGATCTATCCTCTTCTACCGTAGCCTATTGAGAAATTCAAAAGTTCCTCTTACTCTGATTAGTCGGCTTTCTCAATCTAGCAATGCGTCAAATTGGAACAAAGCCCATGTGTAAGACGAGAGGTTCCTAATAAAAGAAGAAGGTGTTATTATTGATCGAGTTTGATTCTATTATTACCATTATTTGGTGTTTGAAGGCGCACAATAAACCCTATCGACGCTTTTAGATATATAGACGGTTATAATAATGCGAGCGAACTTTAAAATTTTAAGAGATAAAAAATTTTCAATTAAAATAAAGAAAATATTTAAAATATATATTAATTTGAAACTTTCAGCGGATGACTGATTTCACCTACCCTCGATCCTTCCATGGTGCTAAGCATGGCTAATGAAGTCGATTGGGGGAGGTTGACAAGTTTAGGCCGCCGCCGGATGCGGCCGTCAACTATTCCTAGAATTCGAGATTTAAAGATTATTTAGCTTTGTTGGATCTATAAAAATGTAGGGTCTGGAATAGATTCGATTATAGATAAAGTTAGGTAAAGTTTAGTTGCTGGAGTCATAGGCTGGCATCCATGCATGCATGGGGAGTAATTAGGGGTATTCATTCGGTTAATTTGGTGGCCGAACAGACCGAAGTACCATTAATCGAATTAATCGAACTTTTTTTTTTCTTTAACCGTTAACTGAACCGAATTTTTTTTTCGAAAATTTTAACCGAACCGAATAAATTTCGGTTAATTTTCGAATTAACCGAAATGTTTTAGAATTTTGAATTTAATATTTTTTTAATTAAAAGTAATGAAATTTTAAGCCTCTTTTTTTTATAAGAAAAAGTAATGAAACTTATTCAACGAACACATTAGCAGAATAAGAAACAAATCTTTAAGCTTATGAATGACTTCGAGAAGTTGTGCCATATCAGATCATGTGTTGCATATAAAAGCTGAGGAAAGTAGTAATAACCTTTTACCAGAAGGTGGAAAAAAACAGGGTAAAAAGGATATATATATCAAGAGTTACTTGCATGAGTGTTCACAAAATATGCAGATTTCAAATGTTCCACAATGCTTGAAGAAAATGTGAAGTAGTCTACAGCCAAAGATCCATCATCACCAGTAGACTACATTAAAAAAATAACCTTAGGAAAATCACAAGAATCAGAACAAAAGGAATAAATATAAAAATAGCCTTGGGTTTGATAATTACATGTGATCATAAATATAAAAATAGTTGAAGAAGAGAATGGCCATCGATTTGTACCGATGCTAACAAGAAGACTACATGGCTTCTACCGTTGCTATGCAAATGGCTGCAAGTTCCTATGCTGTGAAACGCGTGCTCCACCGCCCATGCTTGTGCCCATACCTTACACAAATCAAGACATAAAATAATTGGTAACCCTGTAGCAGCCTAGCAAGAAGTGGGGGGCAGCATATGGGATGGAAAAAATAATAAAAAATATTAAGGGTTAATTCGGTTAATTAACCGATTTCGAACCGAATTAACCATTAATCGAAATCTAATTTTTTTTAACCGTTAACCGACCGAACTAATTCGGTTCGATCGGTTAACTAAATTAGTTCGAAAATTTGAACACCCCTAAGAGTAATACTGGGTTGTACCTGTGAGAGGGTACTGCGAATTTATATCAATAATCATTAATATTATTTTATTTTTGTACGTTGACTTTGTACGGTTTATTTTTCATTTATAAATTCCTAACAATATAGATAGATCTATGAGGGTGAATTTATAAAAAAAATTAAAGGAATAAATATATAAAAATTGAGGAGTACGAAAATAGATTATTAATAAAAAATATAAAATGAATATATGTTTAGTATCATACTATTATTTTATTCCGTTTTGGTCATCCAATATTTTTTTTTCAAAATTAACTAATATTACGTTTTGGTTTCATTTTGGTCACCTACCCTTAAAAACTAACAGAACTGTTGACGTGGTATTTTTTTAATGATGATGTGGCATTATCCTATGGTGATACATCAACACCATCGTTAATTTTTTTAACGGCGGGTGACTAAAATGAAACGAAAACTAAACGTTAAGTATGATTTTATAAAAAAAAATTGGGTGACTAAAACATACAAAAAGACAGTTGGGATATTAATCATGTAGTTTACCCCAAAAAAATTATTTATACTATAGGATTTTCTTTACACTAAAAATTGTTTAAGTTGCAGGAGAAAATTTTAAAATATAACTTATGATTGTAATGTAAAGTTAAAAAATAGTTGAAATTAAACGTGATCGAAAATGTTATAAAGAAACATAATAATTTAGGTTGGACAACTTAAAATGTAATATTCTTTATAACATCACCGGTTACAACATAACCTATTATATTCTTCTTAACATTTTCAGTTGTAAACTCTAAACCTCTTGACAATGTAACTTTTCGATTACAACTGAAATTATTATAAATTTATATAATTTTTTAGATTGAAAACCATCTTAAATTTTAGGTTGTACCACAAAACTACCCGCTCTAAAATCTTTTTTCACAAGGGCAGCCACTGGTGCAGTGGTAAGCAAAGAGGATTACCAAAGATAAGAATGCGATTGTTGTCACAAGTGCATAATGTCCACAGTTTGAGGCCTACAAAGGCCAAATATATATATATATATATCATAAAATTGAATGAAAATGAATAAGTCACGGGTTTGGTACTTGAACAGTATGAAATTCACAAAAATGGCCCGAAACTTCTAAAAATTACAATTTATCTCCAAGAACTTTACCTTTTTTTCCAATCTAGTCCAAAGTTTTAACAGTTTCAATTTGGTTTCAAATTTAAAGTTTTCACATTATTCCCTCAGACTCGTAATGTATTTTGATGCCTAATAAAGCATTTTTAGCTTATGTTGTTGCGATCAATTAATTTGAATTTGAGCTTTTAGTTGAGCAAGACCGACTTAGGTCGTTACAATCAACTTAAATAAATATTGTAATATCATTTTTTATGATGATTGGGACATTTGGTGTTATTCTGGAGATGATGATTAGGACATTCAGTTTGGGAAAGAACTGCCAGATTCTCCGAAGATTTGCTTCTTGCTAGTATTGTTCGAGTTCATGTCCTAGAGCTTAAGCAATTTATCACTGGTAAAACCAGGAAGGGTTTATCTTCTCCATGGATAAGGTGGGATGAGTCGATCTGTGCTAATAACATGAACTGAATTAAATGAGGGATTGCCTGATCAAATAGATACATCCAGCAGGTTTACAAGTACTTTAGTTGCCCTCAGATCATCTCAACTTCTGGCAGCCATTTCTCCTGGCTTTGAAATTACTCCTGATGACCTTTCAACTGCTGATGCAGCAGTTTCTTGCTTCTTGAAACTGTGTGCTGTTGCCAATGCGGATCTTTATTTCGATCTCTTGGTAGACATTTTGGAAGAGTGGGGAGGGATTTTGGTGATTAAGAAAGAAGAGGAAGTCTCTGCAGTATTTAACTAATGCAGAAAATTGAACCTTTAGAGAACGAAAACAAAGAGGACTCGCTTCCAATCATCCTTTACATGTATGCTGTTCAGAGAGTTTCAAGGGTCTTATTAAAGCATCTCGAGTTAGAGGTGTCTTAAAGCTGATTGACCAATCCATTTCAAAATCAGGTGGAGTATTGCTCGATGAAGGTAATGCAAGGAGCTTGAACGACATTGTACTCGGAGTGGATTGTTTCATGGCTTCAAAGATGATGCTTTGACTGCCTTTCGAAGGGTTGAAGTTGGAGTCTTTGACTGCACTTGAAAACAGGTTGAAAGGTACTTCCAACACAGGCAGTGACCATGAATTCTTAATGCTAGTCCTCTCCTCGGGGGTTATATCAATTGTCATCAACAAATCTTCCTTGGGTACTGTTTTCTCGCCAGTTCCAAGAAGCAAAATTGCCAAGGCTTGGAAAGAAAGGAAACACACAGAATGGAAACAACTTATTTCTTACAAGAATCTTGTTCCCCCATGTTCCTATCGGACCTTGTCAAGGCAGATTTTGGCAGGTCACAAAATTCATGCACATAAATGCTTCATTTCGCCTCATCAACATTGCCGAGGCAAGCCTTGGAAGATATTTGGAGAGACAACTTCTGATCCGAGGACAAGACTACAAAACAAGTAGTGAACCATTAAAGAACACAGTTTCAAGATTGAGAGGAAAGTTAGGGAATTCACTTCAATCTGCCTTGTTACTACTTCCTATGAATGAAGGCAATAGATAAGCTTTTGGAGCAGCTGATCAAGACTAAAAGGATCTGCAGAATCATTGTGGAAACCGGCAAAAGACCATGAAAAGTAACGAACATTTCTTTTAATTTTTTATGTACACAAATTTTAACGTGGGTCATCTTTGACTTTGGCCCAAAGTACCAGAGTGGACAAATTTTAGTACTTGAAATAGTCAAGAATCGGATAGATGTGTGATTTCAATAAAGAAATAAAGAAGGAAGATTGATAACATTCTAAATCCACTAACAATTTAGTGCAGAAAAGGGAATAATATATCATAATTAGAAAGAGTGCTATTTTTAATGCTGATCTACTGACAGCCCAAAACAAATCATGAATACTAAAAATAACCTGCCCACAATGTTCTTATAAATTGTAATTTGCAGCCTCATTACCAACTCTCCAATCATCAACCGCACCTGTGTACGGAATGAGTTATGTTGTTGCTTTCCACCTACAAAACTGTAGGCAAAATATCAGTCTCAATCATTTAGTGGCTCTCCCTCTGGGTCCCTTTCCTTCATAGCTGTCCAATTTTCAATCTCTGAAAGAAAAAACATAAAAAAGATTACAACCGAATATAACCTGATGTAAATTGAAAGCAGTAGGGAAAATGAAGGATGTTTGGTGTGATATGATGTACTAACTTGGCTTGTCTGAAATTGCCATCAGCCGTCTTTGCAAGATAGATGCCACGAAGAGGAAAATCGAGCACATACCAAACATAACAGTGATGGGAAATGCATTAACCTTCACAGCAAAAAACAATACACCTAATTAGCAACAGAGTTAATGCCTAACAGGTCCAACAGCAAGCATGTATTGGTCTATGGCACATGATCAGCTATTAAAGCAAAGCCCTATTATTTCTTTTTTTCTCTTTTTTCTTTTTTTTTTGGGGCAGGGGGGGGGGGGAGGGTGGAGGGGTTCAGGAAAAGCGTATAACATACATTGTACAACACGACGCAGACAAAGATGTTGAGAGGAATGCGGAAAAAGTTCATTATGGTGCTCCTAGCCTCCTCTGGGATGTACTGGGATCTCATTTTCATAATAGATGGCCAGAATATCCCTACGCATGCCTCAAAAGTACAGAAGCCAAGAAGCTGAAGACAACCTGAAAACGAGATGCTTCCGCTTTTCACTGTAGAAAGTGCCAAGAAGAACTGTTACAGATTCACCCAGTTAGGAATCACTCATTAGAATAATCCAGATAGGAGAGAGAGGGAAAGAGAGAATGTCAGAACATACATTAGTTATAATTGGAAGCAGGAGAGAGGCAGAGGAAATCACAAAAACAATCTGCATGTAGCTTTCTACCCTGGGTGATGAGCGAGCCATCAACCGAGATGCAAGGGAGCTTCCCAGCATTGAAGCCAACATGAATGTGGCAAAAATAAAACCATGAGGGATCTCCTCGTCATTGGGGCTCAAAGCAGGAGTCCAAAGGAACACAAAGTGTACATTGAGCCTTCAAACAGAGATTGGATGGCACCCAGCAAAGCAATTTTTTCATCTGAAGTACAGAAAATATTAAACTAAGAAGGGAAACAAAAGGAAGAATCAATGCATGGTGGAGGATGATTGACAACAACAGGGAATCAAGAGACAGTACTTGGCCTGTAACATGTCAATCAGATGAATGCATGAGTCTAACATAAGTGTTGAACTCTACCAGAAGCTATTGCTACAGCAGCACCCTTAAATTGGGTTAACAGGTCCTTATTTTCCGAGGGATCTCCAAAATTTTCAGTCCATGTTGATAAAATAATGGCCATTCCAATAGCTAGAAAACATGCAGCAGCATCAAAAGGAGCCACAGGTCCAAGGGATAACGAATCAACAAGTAGGTTCCCAAACAACCCAGACAAAATGGCCACAAGACCATTTCCAAGAAATATTGCCTTAGAAAAAGTTAGTGACAACCATTGTTGCTCAAGCCTCTCTGCAAAGATTGGAAGTAGAAATAGTATTGTCAGAACATGATTAAACTTAAAGGGATATCGACATCAATGATGCAGACAAAGCTTGTTGACAAATGTAGCTAATAAGAAACAGATGATTCAGTCCTTGACATCCTTGAAAACAATGGTGGAAAATTCAAGACACGAAGTTAGCATATTCCTATGTACCATGCGTAATATGAGATATAAACTAGATATCTCTAACATTGTTACTTTTCCCCAAAAAGGGCATGGAGGAAAACCTGACTGAAACCAACACACAGCATGACAGCATCAAGAATACTAAAGAAACAAGATTAAAGGGAACAAAAGCGAACACAAATATGATGTACATTGTAAGCTTGACTAATACGCACTAAGAGGAAGGCACAGAAGCAATTACTCACCTTATTATGTTCAGCAACAAGCCATGACTCAAATGCTGAAAACAGAAGGGAGGTGGCGATACCTCCCAAAACACGACCTATCATCAAAATTTTGTATTGAGGAGAATGCTTGGTGATGCAGCTCAGTGTGTAAGTTATGCAGTAAGTAATGCATGCCCTCTTTCGGCCCCTGAATAGAACATAAGGCATTTTAACATTTAAGGCAATGCCTTTCATCGATTAAGTATGAAAAGATCGCAACAGAAGCCAGAGTAAAAGCTTACTGCTTGTCAGCTAGAGATCCAACAATTGTACCAAACAACATGGATGACCCAAAACCAGCAATAAAAAGCTGTCCAATCTCCCCTTTTCCAAAGCCATAGGTACTGTAAAGATAGTAAACATATGGACCCTGCAGCCAGTCTCCAGCTATAGATACATAAACAACCATTTATCAGTCCAATAACCATACTATAAGAAGGTTATCTTCACAATTACCAGATCATACCTCTAAAACTAATTACAGTAAGAAAGTAACTATATGGGAATTAGAAAATTTTCTTTTAAAAGTCATTCAATCATAAGTGGTAATAAGTTTATGATGCCTTTGAATAAGATTGTTACGAATAAGTCATCATGAAAAGCTTGTATGAAAAGCTAGAATAACAACAAATTTTTATAGAATTCAAATTCATGATTCATGACATCTCAGACTGTTTAATCCCAAATAGACACCTATATTAGAGAGCATCATCCCTACATCCATTGCCCTGAAACTAATTAAGTTAATGTGATGGTAAAAATCTCAGTAAGAATCAGGAGTTCGTGTTTATGACTTCCACTCTAAGCACTAAGAACACCAGATAGTTTGGACCTCAACATTTTCGTTGTTTTTTTATCAAATACGTCATCAACCAGGCAAAACCGTAAAACCTCAGCAACAATAAGGAGTTTATGTTTATGACTTCCACTCTAAGCTCTAAGAACAATGGATAGTTTGATCCTCATTTTGGTTGTTTCTTTATCGAATCCATCATCAACCAGGCAAAACCGTAAAACCAAGCAATAGTGACATATCTCCAACCCCCCACCCCACCACCCCAAAAAAATAAAAAAATATCAGTTTCTCAACCACAAACAGAAAAGGGCCGAAAATCCACATAGTGTAAGTCATTTTCTTTACGCTTCTCTTGTCTCATAGAAGCTAAAAAAACATTTAATGTCTCCCATTTTCTACTTCCTTTTCTTGATGAACTCGTTCTTCATTTCCAGGGCACAGAAAAACAGCAGGGACATTTAAAAGTAATGATTAATATAACCAAAACATCATCCACTAAAAGTAAAACCAAATCACAAAGAGAAAAAAATCCAATCACTCAAAATGCAAATCCAGGGACTAGGTTCTGGATATACACACAGCAAACCAAAACCAGCACTAGATCAGAGACATGTCATAGTAAAATAAAAGTGAGATCTAAAACATAGAAATTGAAATACAGATCTGGGTAAATAAAAAAACGTGTGGGAGATAATTACCCATCATTAGAGAGTAAACAACAAGATAATTGTTCTTGAAGGAATTGAAGGCAGGGGAAGTGTTGATTCGATTCTTGTTGTTCTTGCTCAGCTCCAATGCTGCCACCACCGCTCCCAATGCACCGAACACCATGAAATAGAAGAGCTCCATTGTTTCTGCCTACCACACACCACCACTCGAATTCTCCCAATGCACCCTGAGTTTTTTTTTTCTTTCTTTCTTTTTGTTTACAGCGCTCCAAAAGAAAGATGTATTATTAATCTGAAAAACGAAATTGGGATTTTATTCAGTGCAAAAACCTCGCATTTTATTTTAATGGAGGAAAGGAGTGGATCGATTTGAAGAGCTACAAACAATGGGGGTAATATAGCGTCGAGGGTGTGGGATAAATGATGGGGACGACTGACGGTGGATGCATAGAGGACGCGTTTGGCTCGACGTAATTGGAATTTTATATTGTAAACTACACACGTGGCGGAACCTGGGTTGTCCAATCGGATTGGTATTCAGAGAGGAGGTGTCGGTGGTTCAGATGGCGTAAGCATCATTTGTATGTGTCTATTAAACTAGATTAAATTAGAGTAAATTCTTAATTTTGATTGATCGTTTTTTTATATTGGTGTATTTTAGTTAACAAATTTATATTTAGATCATTTATATTATTAATTTTAAATTTTGATTACTTGTATTATCGATTATTATATTTTAGTCAATGAACCGTTAATTTAAGTTAGTTTGGTGATATATTAATAAAAGAGTTACTTTTAATTTGATCCTTGAAGTTAAGATATGATGTTAATTAGATCCTAAATTTTAGATAAAATATTAATTCAATATCTGAATTCGATTAAAATCTCTTGTCGTCGTCGTTCACCACTATCATCGTCAGTCGACGTCGATTACTGTCATAACTTTTAATGATAAAATAAAAAACAAAAACAAAAGAAGATACTACTTAACCGAGTTTTAATCAAGCTAACCTTAAGTCTATACTTTTTCTATGAATTCTTAAAGCACAATAATTAATTTCATAATCATTTATTATTACTAATATTAATGTTTTTAATATTATTTTCTATTTCAAATACATTAAATAACATGCATTTTGAAAAGAAGATATTTACTATTTTTTTAAAATTTAAGATAAGATCTTTTTATAATTAATAAAAACGTTCTCTATCTTACTAGAACTCTATCTTGTTCATCATTTATAATAGAACATAATTCACGCAGAAAATTAATTTTAAAAATTAAGACGACATTATTTTATTACGATAACTAATGAAGTGATCTCTTAACTTACTAAACTATTATCTTTTTAATTATTCATAATAGATACATTCTTTTTTTTTTTTTGCTAAATTGACTTTTTTAAAGATAAAACATAAATATTTTATGTAATCCGAAATTATCCAAACTCGTGATAATTAAACTTTTTAAGTTATACTTGAAAGAGTAGAAAGGAAAAGGGGGGGGGGTGGCATTGTCAAGTAATTCAAATGGAACATGAAATGACCGTATCGACATATAGTTACACCCTCGGCAGCGTCACACGACTTGTAAATAATTGCATCAAATCTGAGTCAAAGCTGCAGACTGCAGTCTAGCAAAGTATACCAAGCCATTATAGCTTTTCCAAATAAACCACTCTGTCTTCCAGTAGTTTTTAACTTTTAACCCTAAGCTTCAAGGCTTTACAAAGGTACCGGAAGTTAAATCATTATTCTTCTTTACTGGATGGAATGTCAAAGTTTACATGTATGTAGATGCTTGATCAGGAATCCTGCAACCTGTACATAGTAATTTCCTGCTGTTTGAAATACCGACGATCTTCTTCATCGACAAGCACAAGATTCAAGTAATACTTCACGCTGAATTTGTTGTTTATGTTGCGATGTGTTGGTGTCAGCTCATATGGACTGAGAAACAGCCTGATTGGAATAGATTCACCTTCAATACCAAGCACGACTGTCAGCACTATGCTTTAGAAAAATGGCGTGTGTATACATTTATCAAAACCAAACATTTCAGCCCAAATTAGCATCCGTCAAGGAATACAAGTTCAGTCAATTATATATAAGCTAGTTGTATCTGATAACTGTCACTTCAGGTCTCAAAAGAAGACAAGGTTTCTTAGGTTAATAACATACCTCTGACTGGAGCACCATCCATCAACTCATATTTAGCTAGCGTCTCTGTTTCAACGTGGGTATTTGCTCCTGATCCTGTCGACTCTCGACGCCTTATCTCAAGATCCATGTTCTTAATCTTAATTCTCACAAGAAGAAAATATATCTTGCCAATAATAACATCTTTCAGATGATACCTGCAATATCAATTCCAATGAGTAAGAACTTCACTAGACATTCAAAAACTACTTAATAGAAATGCTTTGAAAATATCTTATGATAGTATAAGCTCCAGAGCTAAAATCCTAAACCAGTGCTGACATAAGCCAACATATTATGTCAGGCTTGAGCAACCACGGATGATAGATGTTCAACTTACTTGCTTTTATTGTACTCAAATTCGATGTGCAGGCAATCTTCAATTCCAACTTCCATCTGTAGATGAAATTCGATATTTGTTAAAAATTAAATATTATGAATGAAGTCTGTGGTGGAAAGATCATTGGCAAATGGTGAAATGGTCAATGTAATGTTCATAAGAATCAATTTAGATACCATTCAAACTACAATGCAATCACCATAAAAGTATTAAAAAAAATGCACCAACCTTGATGCTATTGTTGATTGATGGAAGTGGAGAAAAATTATGAACCTGATACGCATAAACAAGCAAAAGTTAAGTTTCTAAGACCACATAACCGACAACTTGCATATGGCCAAATACATTGATGTTGAATTTCCAGAATATGATATTGGGGGTTGGGTGGGAGGGAGCACTTCAGTCTTCACATAAGAAAGAATTTAAGTTCTGCCTTTAGTGGCACACATAAGACTTTGTATGTGCTTACTTGCATAATAATGTTAGTGGAGATGAGAATGAGGTGCCATGGTATGCTAAGCAAAAGAGAAAGAGCTACACGAAAGAAAAAGTTGAAGAGAAAAGAATTGAAGTGGGTGCTTCTTACCATAAAGTCCTGGTATTCCACTATGCTTCCACCATAATTACGGCTAACGGTTACTTTCAGGACATACCTGATGAAAGCAAAGAGTCAAACAATTATAGGATGAGTTGTCACACTATAGCCCCAAATCACCGGCCTCATCATCAGACAAACAAAACTAAAAACCCTTTCATAATTTCAAAAGTAGATCTTTAAATGACATATCAGAGTAATTTATAATATTTATTAAGATAGGTACCCAAAACTATTATCATGATAAGAAACTGATTTATAATCCTCAAAGATACATCGCAAACAAACTTTTAGTAATCAAAGAACCACTCCATTCAAATTGACAAGAAGAAAAATGAACAAAAGTTAATCTTGAAAGAGTTTAAGCAATGAGTAGCAAACCTGAGCCGCACATTCACGCCACTATAAGTTTCATACGGCATTTCAACAGTAGAAAATTCAAAAGGGTAAGTTTTTCTTTCATATATTTCCCCAGGGACATCCAACTCACGTACTGCAAATATTAGGAATATACAGAAGGTAAGCAAAAGAGAGAAGGTATAGAAAGAAGCAATAAAAACCAATCAACAGTCTACAAGAACTTATTCTGCGGGGGAAAATTTCATGCGCATTTTGAGCCTCTTAAAGAGTGAAAAATTATATGAATACCATAAACTGTAAAGCATAAATTTGAACTCTTAAGCTCTTATTTTCAACACCACCCACGCCACATGCAATTAATTATTAATGTAAATAATTCCTGAAGTTACTTAAAGAACATTTAAACAATTGCCAGGCAAAGAGAACAAAAGTAATGTCAGCCAGACTACAGGACTCACCAAGAGAGGTGAAATCGTAAAAGTTGCCTCTGTCAAAGTACATCTCTGAAAAGCAAAATCAACGTTTACGTTAATTCATTTCAACAAGAAACGACAACACTTTTTAAATGTTCAACCTTATTCTTTCTACCACATCAGAATGATATTTAAAACTTGGAACAACACAGTGAACAAGGGGCAAGGACCGACCTATTTGACCAAGGAGTTCAACCTTCACACCGTTATGTTCAATTTTCTTCCCTTGAAGTGGTTCTATGGAAATCTGAAGGCAAAAAAGATAGAAAAATCATCAAAAGTTTTAAGATTGATAAAATTATATTTAAAGCTATAAATACAATACTCAATTACGATGCGCATCTATCTGTTTGAAATAAATACCTTGCCAGCAATATTTTCTTGACTTCGGAAAAGCGGAACCGTTACCGTTTGGCCATTTTCCTTTTTCATAGGGACCTAACCACATAAAATAATCCAGATTCCAGAACTATGACTCGTGAAAATTGGATAAACAAATCACAACGACTGAAACATAAAATTTGAAATTTCAATTCAAACCGGACTAAAACCTTAGATGATCTAGAACCGTACCTGCTTTCGAGTTTTTGCATCGGAAAATGTGATCACGATATTACATGCCGGCTTGAAAGCTCCAAGCAGGAAATTCTAATTTAACAAAGTTTAGAAATCCGAATTGCATTCAGTAGAAGTCATATGAGAGTCTAACTGGAAACCCAGTCAAAGTAAAAAATAAAAAATAAATGTAGGATCTTACCATGCTGTTACTGTACAATTCTTGTAAATCACTGTGAAAATAGTCTGATTAAGATCGGAAATTGCGATAGGAATCGAAAACCCTAGACAGCAGCGACAAATCCGAGGTTGGCGAGGAAGGGGAACTCAACCACTAGAGTTTTGGACAGTTGGGAAACGGAAGCAAAGAAATGGCTTCCACTAGTACCAAACTCGGCGTCGCCGTCGCGACAAAACTAAATAATACGGGCCTAAAGTTTCCAGACTTTAGTGGCCCAATTCATAACTATCGGCCCACTAAAATAAATATTTGGGTAAACTAAGTATTTAGCCACCCACCTATCTTTGTGGTTCTGTTTTGGTCACCACACTATTTTTGAAAGAAGTATATAACATTATGTTTTAGTTATATTTTTTTTCATCTGTTATTAAAAAAATAACGGTAATGTTGATTTTTCATCACAAGATAGTGTCACATCATTATTGAAAAAATGACATGTCTGCATTTTAACAATGAGTGATAACAATATAACCAAAACACAATATTATGTATGATTTAAAAAAAATAGTTAGATGATCAAAATATAATCACATAAATAA